ACCAAAGGGTTTTAAACACGCAAGGGAATAGACTGACAGATTCACGAGTTAAAGAGACCTCTCTCTGTGGTGGCCAAGTAGAGAATGAACTGGAGGGGCTGGGAGCTGAAGGCAGGAGAACAGCTGGGAGCCGCCGGAGGGGTAGGTCTGAGGGGAACAATGGTGGCTTGCACCAGGATGGTAGACGTGGAGATGGAGGGCAAAGGATGGACTCTAGAAAGCCATGAAGGGGAAGGATAACATGGATAATCGGAGTGATGATAGCAACCAACATTTACTGAGCACTTACTGCACGTGAGGCCCTGTGACAGGGGGCTCTCCATACACCAACTCAGTGACTCTTTCATTAACTCAGTCATAGGGCCAATTTTAGAGGTGAAGGGGCTGAGAGACTGGGATGGGAGACACTGGTTTGTGATTTTTCTCTACTGACAAGGGAGCTAGGGAGGGGGTGGAACCACCCAGAGTCACAAGGACACCTATAAAAGCATCATAGGAAGGAGAAAAACAGCAAGTGGGAGACAGACACACTGTGGTGGGGGACACACGGGGTGGCAGCAGGGAGGGTAACCCAGCAGCCCCTTCTCTACCACTCATGGTCTCCTTCACATGTTACCATGACTAGAAATGGGCCCCTGGCAGACTCTGAGGTGGGAGGCTCTCTCAGAAGGCCCTGATAACAGCTCTCTCTCTCCGCCTCTCACCAAGACTCCAAGAGCCCTGTGTCGGCTAAGACCCAAGGGAGGAACAGAAGTCTCTTGCTGGGCTCTTCACTCCAGCCACAAAGTGTATTTCCTTCCCAGGGAGCTGAGGAGAAGTTAGGGCTGCCTTGGGTCCCAAAGAACAGGGGACAAGGCAGAGAGACAGACAGCCAGCATCAGAGGGGAGGTGGGCAGTGGGCTGGTGGGGCTTCCCCAGCTTGGGAACCACTGGCACTTCCTTGTCATTTGGAAGGTCAAATGACTGTCACTTGAAGGGGGGACAGATCTCATGACACACACACACATGTACACACCCCATATTAAGGATACTCACTGGCCTACGGAACAAGGACCACCATTAGCCCTGACCTGACACAGAACAATGTTCCTGATGAAAACGTGCAAATCTCAGATAAAAGCCAAGACAGAGAGAAGAACAGGTTTGAAGGCAGGGCTGCCCCAGGCTTTGCCAACAGCCCTGCCTGCTCCCACACCCTCATGGCTTTGCGTGCCAGGACTGCCATCCCCTGCCATCTGCCTGGCTAATTCCAACCTGCCCCCTAAAGCTTACCCTAGCATTGCCTCCTCTGGGACTGTGCGTCCTCTCAGAGCCCCGGGAAGCCCCCTCACAGACCTTACCACAGAGAGTCACCATCATCCTCTGCTTGTGTGTGTCCACCCTTCACCCCGTCCTGTGCCAGCTCACCTCCCCACCCCTCACCCCCTCAGCCTCGGTGCCCAGGAAAGTATAGGAGAGGGGACCCAGGGAACCGGCTGCTCTAGCTTGCACTGTCACCCCTCAAGGGGTCAGATGGGACCTCCCGCTCCAGCCAAATAGCCCTTACCTTCCAGGGCCAGCAAGAAGGCCTGGGGCAGGGTGGCCTCACTATCTGTCTGATCCACGCGCCCACCACTGGCCTGGGCTAAAGCAGTATTTCAACCGAAGACAGGCATGAGGAACAAAACTGTTCACTAAGGCAGCGCAGGAGGACCAGGAGATCAAGGGAGCAAGCAGGAAGCTGGTGTGGAGTTTCATCCTCCTCAAGACACACCCACACAGAGACAGGGTCTCTGTCACAAACAAGCACCCACAGCACACTGACACCCAGAGCCTCAAACACACAGTCCGAGCCACACGCAGGGTCCCCTACACCATGTATGGCCTCATGCACAGATGTTCTCATGCACACAGCCTTACACACACACACACACACACACACGCACACACACACATACGGCCTCACAGGCAGAGCTTCACGTGTGCGATGTCACACTCGCCACACACAGCCATATGCTCACACAGGGACACACTCACCTCAAGTTTCTCACACACACCCAGCATTTCTCTTACACATACAGTCTCCCTCTCTTTCTTATGTACGTGCTGTCTCCCACGCTGTCTCGTTCTCACACACAAAGTCCATCTCCAAACACACGGAATCTGTCTCTCTCACATTCACACAGGATTTCTGATACAGAGACTCACAGAATCTCTCTCACAGAGTCTCACCACAAACACACACATACCACACACACGTGCACAGGGGCACACGCACGCACACCCTACTCCCACAGTCTCTCTCACACATGTTTTTATTCTTATCCAGCCTTTCTCACACGTATGAAGCGTCTCTCACACCCACAGAAAATCCCTCTTACACAGAGTCTCTCTCACACACGTACAGCTTTTCTTCCACACGTACATGCAATGTCACATGCATCCAGGATTCTGGTCTAGCATCTAGAATACAAATTTAAATCCTGACCCACCCGTGTGAGGAGGGGGAGGGGTAAACAAAGGTGACAGCAGCGGCAGAGCAGAGACAAGGGGGAGGAAGGGCAGGCAGCCGGCTGCTCCCTGCGCAGATGAGCCGCAGAGAGGCAGCGCAATGCAGCTAGGCCAGCCCGGCGTGCAGCAGGAAGCCTGGGTTCTAATCCAGGCTCTGCCCTCAGTTCCCCTGAGTGCCCTTGGACAGGTCCCTCCTCTGTGGGCCTCAGTGTCCTCAGATGTCACTCAAAGGAGTTAGAATGACTCTATGAGTCTCCTGGGGAGAGAAGGTGGTGGCACAGATGGTGGGGGGCTTCTAACCCACCTCCACCTCCCCAAGATACCCCAGTCCTTCGCTTAGAGTCTGCTCTTCCGTGAACACTTGAGACAATCAGGACATTTCTGTAAGGTTTCAAACACCAACAAGACCCCAAACCACACTAACCAGCCCATTTATCTGCATTGGGTGAAGGCCACCCCATGGCCTAAGAACATCAAGTGGAAGAGGATGGACGGTGATGGGATGGAAGAGGCCCCGTATGTCCCCTGCCTATCCTGAAAGTCAGGAGCACAGCCCAGAACCTGAAAGCTGAGTCCAACATTGGGGTGGGGGTATCCAGACTCTTACTAGGGATCCAGGTGGGCGAAAGGACAATGAGGAAGTTGGGCCTTCTCCTTCCTTCCTGGGCTGAGGAGGGTGGTGGTGCTGGTGAGATGCTGTCCAAGGTCAAATGCAGGCTGAATGGGTGGCTGTAACCCAGGCCTTTGCCAGCATGCCCCCAGCCCAGCAGGTACTGGTTCAACCTCCCAGTCCCCCTCTCCTGCCCCTCCCCACAGCTCAGCCACAGCCTCCAGTTACATAATCCCCTGGCTGTGGTGGCCTCTGTCAGGAGGAGAGGGGAGGGTAGACCTCTGAGGGTCCAGTCCATTCTGGGAATGGCAGGGAGCTGGCAGCCCGCTCAGGGGAGGATGGGATCCCAGGAGACCTGGGTTCTAGTCCTGCTTCGCCTCTAGCTCCCTGAGTGACCTTGTGTATAGGGTCTTCAGTGGCAAAATGAGGGGCTTGGTCCTCTCCCCAACCATCCCCCCAACACACACATCTGTTCTAGGATTTAATGTATAAGAATCTGTCCTGCTCTCCCTCCTTCACACGCTAAAACATCACAGATCTACCAGGCCTGTGCCTAAACACAGCCCTTTTCTCCCTGTGGATACATCAGTGCCCCCCAAGTCCCCTTCCCTCACTGGCCCTCAGCACTGATCCTGCCCCCTCCCCTGCCCCATCCTCCCCACCTTGGCTCCTGGGGGCAGGAGGTAAGGGATGTGGAGCAGTAAAAAAGAGCAGTGATTTGCCTGGTAGGGGGTGGGTGGGGGGAGCTTTGCTTTAAGTTCCCAACTCAGACCTTCCCCCTCATGCTTTAGGTTCCATTCAGACCTCACAGAGCCCAGGGAATGCAAGGGACGTCTCCTCCAGGGTGGGTGGCTACTACCAGTGTTTCCCTTTTCGGCTCAGTGAAGCAAATAAAGACCCGTAGATTTCACCAGACCCCCTTTCCCATTTTACAAAGGAAGAAACTAATCCAGAGAAGCCTCTGAGAGGCCAAGGTCAGCAGCAGGGTGCCCTTGCTCTCCAGCAACCCGCTGCTATCCAGAAAGGGGAGTGGCCGATGAAGACACGCCCACCTCTCACACACATTCCTGCAGGTTCCCTTTTAGAAGCCCCCACTCTGCTCCTGACAGGTCCCAGAGGCAGCACAGGCATAAGCCTAGTGGCCCCCTCCACACTGCCCCCCCTTTTGATGAAGAAGGACAGGCAGTGTTCCCAGAAGAAGGTCTGAGGGGCCACGTCACCCTCTCCACAGCCAGGCCCATCCATACCCACTACCAAGCTATTAATTAGCCATAAAGATCCCCTCTTGACCATCTCTTCACAACAGCCCTAGGTTGTTCTCTGGGGAGGGGTGGTCTGCCTCAAGCAGCAGACCAGGCCAGGCCCTCCTCTATAGGCCCTGACTGGCTCCAGATGCCTTTCCCTCGGAGGGAGGAAGGGCTCCCAGCTCCTCTCCCCATAACAAAATCTAAAGGGCGCTCACATCTTCCCAGTGTACATCCGCAAAGACACAAACATGCATGCACAGGCACTCCTGCACACTCAAACATACATGCATGTTCTCTCCTTCCCACTAATATCTGACCCACCCAAATAGACACCACCATACTTACATAAATATGCACACACAATCTACTCATACACACAAACACCCATTTGTACTCACTCAGACGTATTAAATTTGGAAATACAGACGCAGACCTTCCATACCTACAAAACTAGCCACCCTTGAAGAGCACTCTCTTTTTTATCCTCTCTCTTATACACGGTTTCCTGTGTACACACACACGCACACACACACACTCCTTTCAGTTCTGACTCTCTAAGCGCCAGTTCTGGAATCCACCCCCGCCCCAGGGAGACAGAAGACCCTGCCTTCCCCACCAGGCTCCGCTCTTTTGATGGAGAGATTGTCACTTACCCGCGCATAGCGGGAGGAGTAGGGGTCCTCGAAGAGCGCCCAGATGCGCGGCTGCCAGCGGCGCCAGAAGCCGCCCGTCCGTCCGTCCGGGGAGTCGCTAAGCGCCAGGCGCTTGGTCATCTCCAGCTCGTCCTCACCGTCGCCAGAGTCGCCGGGGCCGTCGGCGTCCGCGTCGTCGGCGCTGTTGTCAAGGGGTGCGCCGCCAAAGCTATCGAGCGCCTCCTCTGCGTCGCGATGCTGGCGGTAAGTCATCCAGCAGCAGGGCTCCACGTCGGTCTCGTCGATGCCCCAGAAGGCCAGCTCCTCCTCATAGAGTGGCCCGCACACGTCGGCGGGACAGTGCAACTTGCCAGTGCGGTAGTAGTTCAGGATGTGCGCGAAGACGCCCGGGTGGCGGTCGAAAAAGAACTCGTCGGCGCGCGGGTCATAGTCGAAATGGCTGTGGGCGTCGGGCTCCGCCAGCCAGGCGAGCCGCGTGCCGGGCAGCGTGCGCAGCGTCGAGCGGTACGTCTGGTGGCGCGTGCCGCCCACGTTGATCACGATGCGCTCGCTTTCGTCCCCTTGGCCCATCGCGGCGCCCCCTTAGGCATGGCGCGGCCCAGCGACACCCATGGAGCGGCCGCCAGGGGGAGTTGGCGCCGGGGAGGGGGGCGCGGGGGCTCCTCCCCCCTCCCCCCAGCCGTCGGGGGTTACAGAGGATGGTGGCTCTGGCCACCCCAAGAGCGACCCAAGCCCCTCGGGGCGCTTTCTGTCGGGTGCTGGTCCGAGGGAGTGTGCGCGGGATCCCAGGGGTCTCTAAGAGCCAGATGTGGGGAGGGAGCTGGTCCGGCTGCGGAGGAGGCAGAGGAGGAAAGAAGGGAAGAAGAAAGGGAGGGAGGAAGGGAGGAAGAGGGACGGCGCTCAGCGGCGAGCCCCGGGAGGAGGGAAAAGAGGGTTGGGGGGCCGGGCTCCCGTCCCCATCTCAGCGGGAAAATGAAGAAATTGACACAAAGCTTTTTGAGGGGAAGGTCAGCTGCTCCAAGCCCGGACAGATAGATCAGCCCCCGGAAGGGGGAGGGGAGGAGAGGGGGCCGGGAAATTCGCGCTCGACTGTTTGGTGGTCGCCGCAGCGCGCTCTCGGCGCTGGGGAGATGGATGACCGCTGCCTTCTTCCCTGCGTGGCCGGGCTGCAGCTCGGGGCGCAGGCAGGCTCCGGCCCCCTCCCTCTCTCCTTGCCTGGCTGCCTTCTCCCCCCGGCGGCGGGCGCGCCTGCCTGCCCGCCCGCCCTCCTCGCTCCTTCTCCCCGCCTCTTGGAGGAGATGGCGGGCCCCCTGGGCAGGGGCACCCGGGGCGCTGCTCGGTGCGGCGACCGCGGAGCGCTGCGCTCGGTGCGCGCTCCGCCTCGAGCTGGGCTTCCGCGGGGCTACGCTCAGGCTCCGGCGGCGGTGCTGAAGGGACAGCTCCCGGGCTGTAGCGGAGCTACGCGGGGCCGGGCACGGGTTCTCCGGGCTGGGCTCGGTCTGCGAGGCCGGTGGGCACTGGCTCCGGTGCCTCTGCGCCCCGCGCTTCGCGCCCGGCTTCGGGAAGGCGGTTGAAGGTGCGGGTCAAGGCGAGGGGCTGCGGCGGTCGCGACCGGGAGGCGGGGGTGGCGGGTCCAGGCGCGGCGAGGCGAGGCCGGCTAAGCCGGCGAGGCCGGGGAGGCGAGGCGCGGAGCGGCCGCCGCCGCCGCGACGCTGCTGCCGCCCGGGCTGCTGCTAGGCTCGCTGGCTCGCTTGCTCGCTTGCTCGCTCGCGCGGTCCGCGTCCAGCCCGCCGCTCTCCGGACACAAGCACACGGCGCGCGCAGCCGCACTCGCCCCCGGAGGGAGGCGCCGCGCTGGGTCCTAAAAAGCCCCGATTCCGCGCCCCCCTCCCAGCCCGGTGCGGAGCCGGCCTCCCTCAACCCCGGCGCTGGGGGCGCCCGCCCCGCGTGGATCCTGCTCTCCTGGGGGACCCGCCGACGCTCCGCCCTGGGGAAACGCCACTCGATGGGCGGGGGCTCCGGGAGACGTCTAAGGCCTGCGCCCCCCGGGTCAGACTGAGGTTACAAGGGCGTCGGCACCCGTCCCTTTCCTTCCAAACAAGGGACTTTCCGATCCCATAGTGAAATGTGACGACCCCAACCGCTATCAGAGACGCCTTGACCTGAACCAGTATTGGCGGCTCCAAGCAACGTTTAATACCGACCTTTTCTGCAGAACCTGGAGCCCCCGTGATCCTGTCAGAGGCTCCTCTTGAATGGACTCCAAAATAACATCCTTCAAACACACAACACACAACGAACGCTATCCTCTAAGCCCTCCTAACAACCCAATAAGCCTGGAACCTTGTGATTGCCTCTCTACCCCTTACTCACCTTGGGCCCTTCACAACTCCAGGCTGACCCTAGTCTCCTATTGAGGGCCACAGGCTCTGACATACTGATCCCAGCTCACTGATCCTCCCACACTAGCTCTGGATCCCTGGGAGGGGATCGCCTATGAAAGGGGTATTCAGCCTTTAGAGGTCAAAAGGAGCAACTGCTCCTACTGGTCCTGAACACTGACATCCCTCACTCCCAACTGGGCTTCAGCATCCCTGGGCTGTTGTTGGGGCGGGGAGCTGGATGGGAGCAGCTCCTGCTATGATTCCCACAGCTTCACAGTTGATCTTGGGGATGGGGGTTACAGTGTGGGCCTCCAAGCCTTTCTGGCCCATGTTTGCTGCCAGTGACTCAGTTTACTCAATCACTCTTGTACTCCTTTCTTGTTCCACACTCTGTCCCAGGCACACGGGTACAAGACACCTTGCCCTCCTGGGGCTCTCAGGCTTTTGGGGAAGAAGGCAGGTGGGCTTGAACAGGGCTGGGGAGGTCAGGCCCAGCTCCAGGGTTGGCTGCACCAGGAAAGAAGCTTATTGATCCCAGCCCAGCCCAATCGAACACAGGGCTGCCTGGGCAAAGGGCGATTTAATTAAGAAGACAGGAGGCTCTTACTTACCTGTTGGCACTTGCTAACTGTGCAGACAGCTGTCCCTCTACACTGACCTACAGACACAGCTATGAGCCTGAGGACAAAGCTGTGCCTTAGACATTTCTCTCCTCACTTGGCCAGGGAAATCCCAGCCCAGGGAAATCTGTGTGTGGAAGGGAAAGGTTTGGAGGAGTGGAGAAGTTTGGAAAGGGTGAGGGGCAGAGCATGACATGAGCGATGGGAGAAGGACAAGGGCAGAAAGAGAGAGAGGCAGAGTTAGGGCAGAGACAGGGGCAGAGATGGACATAAACAAGAGAGGGCCCTTGTAACCAGGAGGAAGTCTGACCTGATGCAGCACAGTCTCGCCACATTCAGATTCGCCAGGACACAGGCTCTCAGAAAGCTCTGCCGCAATCCAAGGAGGTGATAAAACAGAGAAATGGGGACTCCCAGAAAGAAGAGAAAAAGATGGATACAGAGAGATGAACACACACACACACACACACACACACACACACACACACACATTGCACACATTTGGCTAGGAGATACTACAATGGGGAGACACCAGAAAAAGACCTCTCCAAACCTTCTCTTCCTTCTAGCCAGACATCTAACCCCTTCTCTCTCAGAAAGCCTCGGTGTTTGCACTAGCCAAAGAGGTCCAGGATTCACTCTCCTCACTCTCCTGCAGGAAGAACCACATTGGATCAGAGTATCCCTCCCCAGCCTTCACTATAGCTCACCTCTTTCCCCGAAACGGACTTTCAGCTCCCCTGGGGCTGCTGCTCATTTGCTTTCCTCCACAGTGCCCAGAACACAGCAGTTCCTCACTCAGGGCTAGATAATTTGAGAAAGGCCAAGAGAGGGCCTGGGATCAGAGCATCCCAGTGTCAGAGGTCAGGAATGTCCAGAGCCTTGAACCAAGGCTGTGACAGGGTGGAAGGTCATACCCAGGATCTCTCAGGGAGTCAGTTCAGAGCCCACTGAGGCCACTATCCCCCATGGTGAACCACAATGGGAAGCTGAAGGGTGCTCCATGTAGTGGACAGGTGGAGAGGTGGAGAGGTAGAGGAAGGCTGCTCGTAGGAGCAAGGTTAGTGATTAGGAGCCTTAGTCAGTCCTGGCCCTGGAGGATGAACTAGAAAAAGAGAGGCAGATAAAAGTTGGAGTGAGGGGAAATGTAAAAGGGTATCCACTACACCCTAAAATCCCCTACATGGCAAGCAGAAAGGCTCAGAGAGAGAGGAGCTTCCCAGGGGACAGGGGAGCTGTCCCACTTTAAGGTTGTCACCTTGATCCTTGATGGCAACTCCCAGTCCAGGCCCCAAAGAATGTTCCCTGCACCCCACCCCACCCCCCGACAAGCAAGGACATAAAAGTCCCTTCTCTCACTTCCTTTTCACACTGTAAAAGGCTGGCATTTTGCAGAAAGCCCAGAAAAACTGGGAGGGCAACACAGAAAAAAAGAACCCCTCCCCCCGAGAAGTGGGAGTGGGAGGAGGAATTGCTGCCTGAGCCTTAGCTTCTCACCCACAACCACTAACCATAGGTCCTCAGCCCAGCCGAGACCCTCACCCCTTTCCACTTGAGCTACACCCTCTTTATTCATAGCCATCTGTCCCTTCTCTTGCAGAGGAAGCCTCATGGTCCTATGCCAGAGGGTCCTTGGGATCAGTGGCTGGTGAGAAGAGGGTGCAATGAACTACCAGTGCTCTGGTGTTCTTCAGTGGTCGAGAATATAGACTCTAGGGCCTGGCTGCCTGTATTCAAATCCCAGCTCCATCATCGACTTAGCTATGACCTTGGGCAAGTTCTTCAACTTCTCTAGGCCTCAGCTTCTTTATTGTTGGATATGAATAATAATGAGCCCTATATCCTTTAACACCTCAGCTCTGAGATTTCTCTTGTTCTGCCTGGAGGGAGGGTGTGCAAGGTTCCATGAGCTCTGTGGTGAGAAAGGCTCCCGGAGGAGCTGGGGCTGAGAGTGGACTAGAAGAAGGTGAAGGGAGTCCTGAAGCCAAGTTTGGCCTATGTTCTCACACTTGGCACTTGCAAGCCTTAGATCTGGTCCTGCTAAGCTCTGGAACTGGCCCAAGTCCAGCACCCCCCCCCCCTGGCCCCCCGGGCCTTTGTCCAGCTTGGCACATCCTCTATGCTGCTCTCCCAGGCTCTGAGCCTTAGCAGTCCCAGTGGGTAGGGGTGCCATCTTGTGGCCACAACTGGAAACTAACCTAAACCCGGCCAGACTGAGCAGGCTTTGGGGGTGACCCAGCATAAGCAGTGAAACCAACTGGGGTCTCCTGCTCTGACCAGAACTCCTCCCTCCAATGGACAGGGAGACTGAGATCAGAGTTGTCATAGTGGGAAATTGGTGACCATTGCTGTTGGAGGTGTGGCTTGAGCACTAACCCTGGCACCTAACCTGGAAATGGGGTAGGGTATATCGCTCTTCCTTCCTGTGATCCCCCCCCCAAGGTGAATGGGGCCCAAATCTCTTAGGCCAAGAAGTCTAGAAAGGAGGCAAGGTAACGAATGCCCAGGGGAAGTTCTAGACCAGGGTTTCTCAACTTTGGCACCATTGACCTTTCGCGGCAGACAATCCTTGGTTGTGGCGGCTCTGCTGTGCCTTG